TAGAAAGGTGCCCATCCCTCCTCCAGAAAATACCTGTGTGATTTAAGGAGCTTCTGTTCCCTGGCTGCCATCCCAGGCTCCCTGTTTCCCTGATTCCCTGCTCTAGGGGGGGTCCACATTCTGGCTCTGGGTTCCTTGGGGCCCAGACGCTTTACTCACTCACTCACTCACTCACTCACTCACTCACTTATTCATTCTACAAACACTTGCTGATCATCCGCACTCTGCAAGGCACTGGGGACATGGAGTGAACAGAAAAGATCCCAAATCCATATTGTCACAGAGCTGACCTTCTCTTGGGGGAGAGACAATAAGCACAATGTGATTAGTGAGATATAGAAATCACTGAAATGATTAGTAGAACGTATCACCTGGAAGACTGTGGTCAGTGCTAAGGAGGGAAATAAAGCAGAGAAGCGGCAGAGGGTGAGCCCAGCTCACCAGACCCACTCCCCAAGTCAGGTGCCTCCCTCTCACTGCCTTCTGGACCCGCCCAGCCTCCACCCTCCTCTGGGCTCTCCTCAGGCTGGCCTGCCATCCTCCTTCACCTAACAAGCCATCTCCAGCGTCTTCCCTGTGTCCAGCAATGCTGTGAACATAGACATGTCCTTGCTCTTTGGTGGCTCCCAGTCCAGGAGAAGCCTTCAGCTAGCACTGTCACTGTCAGGATGGGGACAGACAGATGGGGAACCCCATGTGGGGAGCAAGGGCTCTGCCTAGAAGGCTTCCTGGAAGAGGGACATCTGAGCAGGGTTTTGGAGGATGAGTAGGAGCTTGCCGGAGGGATAGATCTTTCAGCAGAGGTATAGATGGGATGGAAGGTCAGAACAGAGGGGCATGAATGCTTTGTCATTCGGGGAGGAGGCAGGATTCAGATGTCATTTTTGTGGCAGATGACATCGGCCCCAGTCAGTGAGGGAGGGCCTGCTCAAGAGTGGGTGGGGGGAGTTGGGGAAGCCAAGGGGAAGGAGTCAGCTGGGTGGGGGGTGGTGATTAATGAAGCGTTGATTGCGATTGTGGGAAGCCCAGTGCTCAGGCTGTGGCCCTGTGGGTGGGTGCCTGGGCTGGTCTCCCGACTCCAGCACAGCAGGGGGGTAGCTGGAGGGCTTAGCTGTAAGGCTGCACAGGTTGGTAGGGGACGGCTAAGGTGTGGGATAGGAACAGAATCTTGGGCTGCCAGTGAGGAGCTGGGGCCTAGAGCCCTTGCAGGGTCCTCAGGGTCCCAGGCCAGGCTGGGGGAAGCCCCTTCCTTTCTCCCCACAGTGGTATCCGCTTCCAAGCCTTGTCTTTGTGAGCTGCCAGGCTCTGGGAACTGGCTCAGGCCAAAGCCATGGTTGCGTGTGGTTGGGGGTGTGGACACCCCAGGAGGTATGTGCGTGTCGGTGCCTTTGCTTCTGTATCTTTGTTTTCGCACATGTGCAGACTAAGAACTTTCACAGGCTTGTGGGGTTTTACGGGTCATGTTGTATAAAGAATCTGTAATTGGCGAGTGATGGGAGATGGGAGGCAAGAGGGATTTAGAGATCTGCGGCGGTGTAGGGGCTGTTGTGAGGTGACAGTTCTTGACCTGACCGTCAAGAGGCCCCTGGGGAGGTCCAGAGGAGGGGTGGGTGGAAGGTGGGATGCCAGCCATCAGTCTCCTTGGCCAGGCCTTCCTGCAGAGAGGGCACCGTGTCTCCGGCCTGAGGCACACCCCTGCAGCCTCGGCCCCTCTTCCCAACAAAGCCCTGGGTGCTGGGGACTGCTAGGCCAGCATGGCTCTGGCCTCTACCAGGCGATTAATGCAGGACTCCTCCTGGTATGGGTGTAAGGACAGCAAGGCTAAGCCCAGCCCTCTTTTCCTGGGTCCAGGTGAGTGGCTGAGTTCAGAAGCATGAGTGCTGGCCCCTCCTTCTTGCCAGCCTTCATCCTGCTTTCCAGAGGAGGTGGCTGAGGCCTGGGAGATGGGGACTGTCTGCAGTGCTTGGCTGGCATAGGCTGGAGGGGCCGGACTCAGGAGCGAGAGCATGTGCACGCATGTGTGCACCTGGGCGCATGTGCGAGGCAGGGTGGAACAGCAGTTAGGGATGGGGACTAGGGACGGACCACCTGGATTCTAAATCTGGACTCTGGCTGTGTGCCCTTGAGCAAGTCACCCCACTCTCTGAGCCTCTATTTTTCCCATCTGTAAGATGGCCGTCGTAATAATCCTTAATTTGCTATGAGGATTTGATGAGGGGATTCCCCCCAAGTACTCAGAGCGTGGCCTGGCCCCTTGGAATGTGTGGGTATTGTTTTCCTTCTAACCGTCATTACCATCAGTGAGCAAATGAACAAAGGAATGAATGAAGTGAATGAATGAATCAGTCTCCATCTTTATCACGTGCTGTGTCTGGCACAGTGCCTTGTCACAGGCATGAGGGTCTGGCTGAGGTGGGTGGGGGAAATGCCCAGCCCAGCAAGTCAGAAACAAACTCCAGCGAGGCTGAGTCTGGGATGGGCGGTGGGGAGGAGGTCCCGGTGCCTGGGCCTGCCTGAGCTCCTGGGAAGGTAGTGGGAGAGGAGGCCAGGTAAGCCACAGAGGCTGTTGGCTGACAGGTTCCGGGTTCCAGAAGGAGACTGAGCAGTCCAGTGTGATCAGATTTGGGCCAAAGAAAAGGAACCAACCCCACCTAAGATATCAAGGAAGGCTTTTCGGAGGAAGAGGGGCCTCTGAGCTGGGCCTTGAGGTATGAGTAGGAGTGTTCTAGGTGAAACAAAGCAAGCAGCAGCAAGGGCATTCCAGACGGGAGCCAGAGCTTGTGCAAAGGGATGGGGAATCCTGAAAGTCTGGTGTGACTGTGGGGCAGGGAGGGGGGTGGAGAGGAGGCTGGGAGGTTGGGCAGGGACGGAGCTGTGTGAGGCCTCCAATGCCAGGCCAAGTACCTTGACCCTTACCTTGGGAAGGCTTTTCAGCTGAAGTAACATGATCACATTTGCATTTTAGCAAGGTCCTTCCAACTGCAGCCTGGGAGCAGGATGGCAGGTGGCAGCCCGGAGCCCTGCAAGAGGCTAGACCCAGGGCTGGAGTGAAGGAGACAAGTTTGGGCAAGAGGAGGGGGAAGATTTGCCCAGAGTCGGGAAGGTGGGAGGGGATTTCTCCCCTGTTCCAGCCCCAGACCACCAGGAATAGGTCCCCAAGGGAACTGGAGCCCAGAGAGGATGGCCACTTGCTCGTAGACCTCCCAACGGGTGTGCTGGGCGTCACCCTTGGGGCGGTGGCTCCCTGGGCTGGGCAGCCCGAGCCCCTGTGACGACTGTCCCCCACCGCACCCCGCCTCCAGCCCACTCAGCGCCTCCTTCCCGCCTGCCTCCGCACAAGGGTGCCATTTGGCGTCTAAATAGCTGTCTCCCTGCAGGCGTGGAGGCAGGTAAGGAGGTTTAATTAAAATTAGTGCCTCTCTCCTGGCGATCACGGTGTTTATGAAGATGGGCCCGGCTGGCATTGTTCCGCAGAGGACTTAATCGAAGCTTAATGGATTGACCTAACATTCGATTTCCTGACTTCCATTGAGGCGGCGGCAACAGCGTTCCCTCAAGCGTTTGCAATTTCCCCACTGCTCCGCGCCAACAAAAGGCGGCCTGAATAGCAGCCCCACTCGAGGGGCCATTGTGCGCGGGGGCGCCTGCCTGAGTCACCGCGATTGGGACAACATTCTTTATGCCTCGCAGGAATGAAAGGATTATTCAAATATTCAATTAAACCGTGAAAAGGGGGCTTTTCTGAGAACCGGGGGGCCCCCAGCTCCGCAGAGCTATAGCAGGCTGCTCTCTGAGGCGGGGCCGGGGGGGGGGGGGCATCTCCCAGCCCCCTCCCGCCTTCCCCCTCCCAGCCTCCGCCTCTGGGATCACTGGAACCGCAGGCTGGGGTTGGAGGGGAGCACGCCAGGCTTTTCTCCCACGTACCCGTCTCCAACCTGCGGCATCCCAGGGCCCAGAGCTGGCATACAGATGAGGTCCGGACCTGGGGCATCCTGTGAGGCAGAGATTGGTTTGGCCCCATTTTGCAGATGACAAGGAAGCTCAGCTCAGGGGAAGGGCCTTGCCCAAGGTCGCCGGGCTGGTGGTGGAGCTGGGATTGGAACCCTGGCTTGTTAAGGGGGTGTCTCCAGGTTTGTGTGACCCCCGCTCCCGTGTCCAGTGGGAGAAAGGCATGGTGTTTGGTGGGGTGGTGGCTCTGTCACACCCATCATCCCGCAGGGTCTTCACAGCAGTCCCTTTAGATGGAGGCGCGGGGAGGTGGGAGACGGCATATGACTTGGCAATGGTCCCCTCCAGGGTGAGGAGAAAGGTGAGTATGGAGTCCAGAGTCGACCCTCTGGGGAAACCTAGGATCCCAGAGATGAGGGCCCTTGGACAGGACCCCTGGATTGGATGAAATGTCAAGTTTTCACATCCAGTCTCTCAGGAACCCATGTCCAAGCTTGACCCTGCCTGTGCTTACCCACTGGACTTTGGAGCCAGCAGACCTGGGTTCGAATCCAGACTCGGGCATCTCCTGGGTGTCCCAGGCTCAGCCCACTGTCCCTGCGCCTGGGGGATGCCCTTTCCTGCCTGCCTGGGTGTCTGTGGGGATTCACTGAGCCAGTGCACGGTGCCCAGAGGGCGCCTGGGAAACCGGATGCACTTATACTGTAGTCATTGGGGCTCAACTGGTGACTGCTTCCCTCCCCCAGCCCTGTAGCCCACCACATGGGGGCAGCGGGGGTCTCCAGTCTGCAGAGAGCTAGGAATGGGGGCTGTCCCTGAGAGCTGTCCTTGCTCTGCACCCACCCCCTGCACTCCACCTCATTGTCCCTGGTCCGGGGCTGTGGAGAACAGTAAATCCTGGTAAAGCCAAGGCTCTGGTCCTCCCAGTCCCCTCCCACTGCAGACTCCACTGCAGCATCCTAGCCCATCCTCCTCCACCCCCAGATGTTTCCTCTGAGCTCCCTTACTGCTGTGTGGCCTTGAGCTGGTCCCTACTTTTCTCTGGACCCCCAGGTCAGAAGACAATGTCAGGAGAATTGCCCAGCCTCAGGAGTGGTGGGAGGTGAAGGTAGACAGGACCCTATGGGATGAAAAGAGGTTGGGGTAGACATGGGGCCAATAGTCACCTCTTATGCCTAGGAGCTTCCCATGACCTTTGAGTGTATCTGGAGGAGTCCAGGCTAAGGAGCAGGGCTGCAATGTACAGTTGAACAGGCTGTTCACTGCACAAGGGCACCTAGGCAGGGGGTGAATAGGGGCTGAAATCCAGCTTGTGTGCCCCTTGCCATACTGTCTCTGTGGACAAAAGGGAACTTCTTTCTAATTGGCACAGAGGCACCTTATGGGCTAATGGCGATCCTGGGCAGGCGAGGAAGAAAATGAGTGTGGCTCACTTACTGAAGAGAGATGAGGGGGCCAGAGTTGAGGGTGGAGGATTGGGGCCAGATCCTGCCATACGCCCTGGGCCCAGCTCGGGTTTCCCTAAATCCGACTTTGGACAACATAGGCCTCAGCGGGCACACTGGGGGCGGCTGGGGATCAGGGTTGCCAGGAGCATCAGGCCCTCCTGGCGCAGTGGGTGTTAAGAGGGATTAGAAGGGCCAAGGGCTGCACATGCTGGGCTCCCGACTCCCCCGCAGCAGTAGGGCTGGTAGTCATGGGGGCAGAGGGAAAGTGGATGGATGACCATTTTCTGAGCCACTGGACGCCACATCCCAGGCAAGGCCCTGCTGGATTGGGGGATGGGGGACCAGTTCTGTGGATTCCCGCTGAACCTCACCCAATAGGCAGGTCTCCAGCTGGAGGTGCTGCCCAGGAGCTGAAAGAGGCCTGCCAAGCAGTGATGAGGACTCTAGTGACAAGAAATGGACCCTCTCTGGGTGCCCCTGGGGGCCTAGGCCCCTGTGCAGGCCCCCAGACCCAAGCTCCGGCCCCTGCAAGGTGGGCACGCCCCTTTCATAGCAAAAGAAGACCTTGCAGGCCAGGAGGGGACAGGGCACAAAGCCACTGCTCCTAAATGGTGGGGCCAGGATTTGAACCCCCATCGGCCTCACTCCAGAGACATTTTATTTTTTGTGTCTTCACTGGACCTCCACTGGGTGCGGAGGAGGCATTGGTCACACCCCTCTTTCCCTGGCACAGGTGATCCCTGGTCCACGCAGAGCCGACTGCCCTCCTGTCCCTCCCACAGGCAGCCATGCCTTCACGTTTAACCTGGATTCCTTGTTTTGTCCGTTCTCACATAAAGTGCACACTCTGTACAAGCACTTTTAATTTATGTAGATGGCTCTGTCTTGTAGATCTCATTCTGGATCTTCCTTCTCTGTTTTTTTTCCAGTTAGCCCTATGCTTTTAAAGATCTTTCCATTTTTTCTGTCTGCTCCATTACTTCTACTGCACAGGACTCTCTGTGGTGTGGCCACCACACAGCCATCCAGGCCACCTCCGTAAATGCTGCTGCAGTGAACATCCGTGTCCCCCCAGGGACCCCAGGAGAGAATCTCCTTGGGGTTCTGGAGCTTCTTGATTGGTCACAGGAGTGCCTGTCACTGTCTAGAATAGGGCCACCAGTACATGTGCCTGGAGGCTGGGAGATGGGACCCTTGGAATTACAGTGTGCCTGTCTGGTGATGGTGCTGATGGTGGCCACGATGGGGATGATGGTGACAGGAAGGTTTTGACCCGGCGATGGGGACGGTGTTGATCACGGTGGGGTGAGAGTAGAGATAGCAATGGTAACAAATTGGTCTTGTTACGTGCCAGACGCTGTTCTCCAAGCATTTTCCACCTGTCGAGTCCCCAAATTCTCCCAACAGTCTTGTGAACTAGGTGCTGTTGTCACCGTTCTGTAGGAAATTGAGAAGTCAAATAACACGTCCAGGGATACAGCTGGTGATGTTGGTGTGGTTTTGGAGACGATGAGGGCGTTCATCATGACCAATGTGATGATGACAGTGGCAGTAATGATGGTGACAGGTGATGGAGGTTGGGTGGGTGATGGTGGCAGTGGCCGTGTTTGTGATAATGACGGGGGTCAGGGTTGGTGACTGCCGATGATGGCAGTGACCGGAATGGCTGCAGTTTGGTTGATGATGGTGGCAGTGGCCGAGTTTGGGAGAAAGCCGGGGCCGTCAATATCGGTGATTGATGAAGGTGGCGGTGTTCCTCAGCCGTGGCGATTGGAAGACTGCGTCGTTGACGGTGGCAGCGCCCCTGTCTTTGGTGCTGATGGGGATGTTGGCGCTCATGTTGCCAGTGACCGTTGATGATGTGATGGGCTGGTGATCGTGACAGAGCTCCTCCCTTTGCAGATGTGAAGTTCCTGAACAACCACAGCCTGGTGAAGGATGCTCAGGAGAAGGCCAATGCCGCCTTGCTCGATTACACCCTGTGCCACTACCCGCACTGCGGGGACAAGTTCCAGCAGCTGCTGCTGTGCCTGGTGGAGGTGCGGGCACTGAGCATGCAGGCCAAGGAATACCTGTACCACAAACACCTGGGCAATGAGATGCCCCGCAACAACCTGCTCATCGAGATGCTGCAAGCCAAGCAAACTTGAGCCTGGGCTGGGTGGGGCTGGGCCCGGGGCCGGGGTGGGGGTCCAGCCAACCCCGGGGCCCTCCAGATGGTTTATTTTATTATGCCGATCCAGGAGCCCCCACCCCGTAAGGCCCTGCCCCTGGGCTCCCTGAAGCCCTGTGTTTGGGAAGGTGGGTGAGGGTGGACAGGGCCTGGCTGAGGTAGGGCCGCCCCACCGGCACTTGCCTGCCACTCCGAGTGTCCCAAGGAGGCAGCTGCTCACCACCCCTCCCCCTCCCCTTGCTCCCAGCTGTCTGTCCGGAATCCGGAGCACAGGTCCAGGGAGGAGGTTCGGGATTCCCTGGAGGGCCTCCATGTCCCTTGGGTCAGAAGTCATCCCTTCCCCCTCTCCAGGAAACAGAAGCAGAGAGAGGTTGAGCGGGCATCAACTGGGGGAGAAGAGAGGGTCTCCAGAACCCCCTTCCAGAGACCAGGAAGGAAGCCCTCTGTTTTGTAAACTAGGGGTAACTGAGTTTGCAAAATTGGGCAGGCGCTGTGGGGCCTAGAGGGCTCCGGGGGGACGGGTTAGGACACAGACCTCCTCCCTAGCCCTTCTACCCCATCTGACTTCTGCAGGGGAAACTCTGACACGCTATCTGAAAACAGTTTCACTACAATCGTCTTTCTGCCCCTCTCCCACCAGAGGAGAAGCTTGGCACACTCCACGTTCTCCCCCCACCCACAGTTGGCCAGCCCGGGCTGGTATGTATCTGCAAGGCTGTAGTCAAGAGGTTTGTGGGCTTAGGGGTTTTGTTTCTTTCCAGATGCTCCTTGAAAGGTATGTATGTCCAGGGCAGGGGACAGAGTTGAGGATTGAGGCTGGGATTTGGGGATTAGCACCAAGTACAGCCCATGGTTTCTCCCCAAACACCCGCATGCCAAGTACCCCATGGGCGGTGCCAGACCGCTGTTTCTGAGCCCCCACTTCAATCTGGAGAAGAGCTGTTGCTTGCCCCTCCTCAGATGAACAGCAGAGTGCCCTGTCGGGGGTGATGGGCTCCAGAGTGTCTGTGTATGGGAATATGGGTGAACTTGAGGAGGGCGTATGGGTCTCCAGCTTGGGGACATTGCTGATAAGCCCCTCCCTTGTTGGCCTCATCCCCTTGGGTCCCTTGCTGCAAACCCTTGAAGCTGGGCTTCGGCTCCCTGGCCTCCTGCCCTATGTCCTGAAAGACACAGTCCAGGGCCAGGCACTAGGGAGTGGCCTTAGCTGTCCTCTGTCCGGGGCTGGGCGTCCACTGTTTTTCCTGCTTTCACGTTGCCACTGCAGCTTGTGTTGAGCCTGCCCAGTGGGAGGTGACTGGGCATCCGTGCTCCCCTGCCTTCCACTGCCCTGTCTTGGTCCCTGCCCCTGCCCACTGTGATGTGTGCCCCTGCCAAGGCCAGAGACCCACAGCCCCAAAACAAGAAGTGCCCTTAAGAATCTCCCCAGCCCCTGCAGCCCTGGAATAAATTTTGCAATTAGTTTCCAGCTCCCTTTGTCTATTTATGTTCCGGGGCCAAAGCGGAACCTCCCAGGTGGGTGTGGGTGGTCGAGGGTGGTGCAATGCTCTGATTGGGATGGAGGTGACAGTCAGATAACCTTTGGTTCAAAATCTGGGGCCAAAGTTGGGGCACACCAGCCACTGTTGGGGAGCCTTTTGGCCCCACCTCATACCTGGGACCTTGTGGTACCCAGGAGGCTTGGGAGATGCTTAGGTCTTCCTGGGCTTCAGCCTCAGTTCCACTACAGCCGTGCAGATGGGGGCACCTCAACCACCTTGGGCAGATGGGGGCAGTCATTTAATGAGCACCTACTGTGTGCCACCCCTCGTATCCCTGCCCCTACCACAGCCCTGTGAGGTAGCGGTTAGAATCCAGGAGAGGGACTTGGTCAGTGACCTGCAGGGGCAGATTCAAACCTGGGTCCTCTTGACTTTGGAGCACTGGCCCTTTCCTCTCTGTCCATCTGGTGGCCCCAGGGCCAGTCCCTCTCACTGATTCTCTTGCCCTCCCACCCCCGCTGAGCACAGCTGAGACCTGAGGAATGCCTCCTCTGCTCTAGACCTTGTCCCAGGGCTTCGCCGGCTTTCTCTGTCCATTTTGTCTTCCCATCTGCTTCTCAAAGCCTCTTCGGCAAGTGGCAGCTCCAGATCACAGCCGAAGAAACCAAGATACAGAGGGGGTGAGGTGACCTGTCCGAGGTCACACACCAAGAGGGAGTAGAGCCATCATTCAAACCTCCATCGTCCTGACCAACCTGACTACTCCTATGGCCACCCCTGGTCCACTTCAGGCCTCTGTGCACGTTAGAAAAAGATGCCGGGGCACACAGCTTGGCAGTGGCTTTTATGCAACGAAAGCATCCTTTTCCCTCCCGGCACCTTCAGAAGGGAAGTAGGTGCTCTTTTTCCTGCCTCGGGAGCATCAGGTCTTTTGGGAAGGCTCTCTTAGTCATCTCACGTTCCTGCGTGATCCATCGTGTCCCGGGGCCGGGTAAGATAAGGAAGTGAATGATTCTGCCCCTGGGGGGGACAGGAAGTGTTCACAGCAGCGGGGTCATCCATACTGGGTTTTGAAGGTCCACCGGCTAGACAACAGTTGGGGGCAGTGTGGGCAGAGGCAAGAGTTGGAGCAAAGGGATGGAGGGGTGTCAGCCATGGGTGTCTGGGGACCTAAGCAAAGTTACTCTGGCTGGAGAGTAAAGAGAGTGGGTGGTGGGGAGGGAGGGTATGGAGCAGGAGGAGGGAAGACCCGAAAGGACTCCTGGGTGCCCACCCCTGGACCTCTCCTCCTGCCAGTGCATATGATTAGTTGGTGGGGAGGCAGGAACCTCCTGGAAGGCGGCAGAGGTCTCTGCAAAAGCAGGCCGTAGAGACCAAGTGCCTGCCCAACTCAGAGCCACCTTCTTGCTTCCCTGGCAACCCTGCTTCTGCAATGGGGCAGCAGGTGGCCGGGCAGAGCACCCTGTTCTGTGGACCTTCAGTGGTGGTACCCAGCCTGGCCCGCCCCGCCCCTCCCCCCTGCAGCACCGCTGTGTCTTCCTGGAGCAGGCAGGACGGCCTCTGTCTCCCCCTCCCTCTGAGCCCGCTGTCTTTCATCTCTTTCTTTGCCTGGGGTGGGGAGGGGGGGGGATCTTCAAGGGCTTAAACATCATCTCCATGCAGCAGGTTATGCGGTCCCACGGTTCCCTGAACATCTCTGAAGACAGCTGACATTCCTGAGTGCCTACCGTGTGCTGGGCCCAGGGACTACCACACAGGACTGCATTTACCCCTCTTGTCACCTGTGGGGTGGGCCTGATGTCCCCCATTCTGCAGATGACGGGCTTTGGAAGGTTCAACAGCCCCCGTCTCCAGAATGAAATAACCAGACCTCTGGCCTTTCATGGTGGGTCTACCACCCCTGGACAGACAACCCAGGTGGGGCCCCGAGCGGAAGTGGCACATAAGGTGGAGAGAGCAGGGAACAGCTTGTGCCTCCCTGGGTCTCAGGGCTTCTCACGCAGCCCTGCCCTGCCTCCACTCACCTGTGTCTGGAGTGGCTTCCTGCCTCCTCCAGGGAGGCTGCTCTCCTGCTCCTCCCTCCTGGGCTGTGCCACATCCTCTGGCCCCAGGAGCATTTGAGCCAGGCTGAGGGCAGGAGGGCAGTGTTAGCAGCCCCTGGGCCCCTGCTTCACCTGGCTTCCAGCTCAGGGCCCGCCCTGGCACAAAGCCCTAACACATCATCACTGCTGCTCACCTCGGCCCCCAGCCCAGCCCTAAGAAGGGACCCGTGGCCCGTGGTCACAGAATCAGTGGTGGCAGGACCTGCTCCCACAGCCAGACTCCAAGTCCTCCTTCAGGATGACCCATCATACCTGGAGCTCGTCCCACCTGCCCCTTGCCTTCTCCGAGCAGTCTGCCTGGGTGACTCCCACTCACAGTGACTGCCCCCGCCCCCTGACCCCCATGTTACCCAGCCGGGAGACTGTCTCTGGCCTCAGTTTCTTCCTCTGTACAATAGGGGTGATAGCGTTCATGGGGCTGAGGTGAGGACTCACAGCTCTAAGGTGGTCAAGGGCTCAGTACCAGCCAGGTACACAGTAGGTGCTAATAGATGTTGGCTGCACCTACCCTGTTGAAGCTGGGGCTGTCTTGAGACCAAAAGACAAAGTGGCAGCTTCCCTGGTCCCACCCTTCTCCCAGGAAGCCTGGCAGGGTGACCCCCACAGAGGAACAGGTCACAAGAGTACCCTTTATTGCTAGCGATACCACAGGGCTGTCAGAATTTCAAGGCAGGTGGGGAGGGTCAGAGCGGGTAACAATCTTGGACAGAAAGTTAGGGGGACTGAGCTGTGGGACCTGGCAGGGTTAGCACAGCACCCGGGAGGGGTTGGGGGGGGGGCTCCTACTGCAAGTCGGGAGAGGCTGAGGGAGAGGCAGTAGGTGGTGGCGGAGGCTGCTGTCTGTCCCTGGGGAGGCCCCCAGTTGGGCCTTTCAGAGGCTTGGAGTCAAGTCCGCATGCACTCTCTCTAGAAACCTGGGAGGAAAATGTTGGGCTGAGCTGGCAGATAATCACGGTGGGGACTCCTGGAGGGGAGCTGAGGCTGGGGGAAGACCTTGGTGGGGATTCTGGACTGGGGAGACCCTGGGCAGTCTCCCGCAAGCCCTCTACGAGCCTCAGTTTCTCTAAAGAACACCTGATGCCCAGAGGGCTCCCTGGTTTCAGGAGGGGCGGTGGCCGGCAGGTATCGCGAGGGACGCGGAGCTGGCAGCCTTCACTCCCCGGCACCTCGTGTTCAGGCCACCTGAGAAGGTCGCAGGGTGCGGGGTGGGGGTGGCGAGGGCGCCCGAAGGGCGGGGCAGCTTGGGGGTCCGGAGGAGGGCGGGGCCGGCCGCAGGGCGAGGTGGAAGCGGCTCCGTTGCTACGAGCGCCCTTAGCAACGCACCCATTCAGCAGAGACAAAGGCGCTGTCACTTGAGCGCAGAGGCGCCGCTGCCGCTCTTGTTCCCACCCGCG